CGCGGTGGACTGGAAGCCGCGCCCGCGGGGCCAGGGGCGCGCAGCGCAAGCCTGGAGCTGGAACCTGGAGCGGGGCTAGAGAAGCGGGGAAGTTTCGTGGCGGCGGTTGACTCCGAGAGCAGCGAACCAGAGGGGAGTGGGGTTCCGGGGCGGGCCCAGGCGCCCACAGCCTCTCAATACCCGGAGCCCGGAGTGGGCATTGAGGGACGCGAGGGAAGCCAGCCAGGGGCGCGGCGAGGGGTCCAACACCCGGAGGCTGGGAGGAAGGCCGTGTGAGGTGAGCAGAGGAGTCTGGATGAAGAACAGTCCTTGCGGGGAGGAGGCCTTGCAGTCAAGATTAGAAAGCTAAATTGGAATCGCCCCTGTACTTAGCACACAGCTCCTCCGGGAGGGGAGGCGGTAGTAGAACGTGGTCTGCATCCGCCTCCCTATTCTCGCTGCCACTCAGATTCCTGCACAGACCCCGACTTGTTACCTTCTGGAGTGTTCTTCCCCGGGCCCGCCAAGTTCTAAAGCTAGTGGACAGGTCAGGACACTCCCAGCTCACACACACCTACGCCTGTTTCTGAAGCCCAGTCTCACTTTGGCAAGGAAACAAAAAAGGAATAGGCACATTGTAAGCTAACATCTCTCCGCACCTGGAGGTTTGGAATTTTGTAACCTGCCCTCTCTTCAGCGTCTCACCCTCCAGGGTTCCCTTCCCTCCACTGAGCTATACTGAAGGCCACCCACGGTGGTGGACCTGTAGAGTCACCTGGACCCACTGCAGGACTCTGCTGTGGATCTTCTCTGCTAAATGTCCACAGACAGCTGGCTGTGGCTGGGGCTTGCCGAGTGAGGTTGGGGTGGACTGTGGCAGCTCAGGGTATGTCCTTTGAGATAGGACAAAGCTCTTGCTGAGGGCGTGAAGCCCTACTGTAGGTGCTAGTCTGTGCCCCCACAGCTGAGCTGAGTGGTTGGGCGGCTGAGATGCCCAGGCGTTGCGGCCCTCTCCTTTGACTGCACAGCTTGTGATGACAGGGGCTTGGGCAAGTGAGGTCCACCTTTTCCTTATTTCCTCAAGCTGGGCAGTTAGTTGCACTTTCACCTTGCCCTGCAGAGGTGGGGGTGGAAGGAGCAGTGGCTCCTGTAAAACTGAGCAGGGATACTGAGAACTTTATGGACTTGACTTTGGAGCCAAGGGTGGGACGTGGGTCCCTGGGCCCAATCTTGCCAGAAGACTTGGGCCAGTTCTAGCTTTGTGCCTTCCCAAAGAGCTCCTGAGGGTTTTCATTTAGATCTGTTTTGTTTCTTAATGCTAGGAGTTGTTTTCAGACCTGGAGTGCATTGTGGGGCAAAGGAAATAAGTGACTGTCCCTTAAAATCCAATCAGTGGGCATTGCAAAAAGTGGGCTCCGTGATTGTTGGGAAATTTAGTGCAGAAAGGGCTCTGTTTTTTGTTTGTTTTTTTATTACTACCCCAACAAAGAGCTTGCTCTGGGGAGATCTCTTTTTCTGTGCCTGTGAGATGTTGGCATGGGCTGAGACATAAAGATTGATCACTAGAGGTTTTTTTTTTTCTGTAGGGAGTGAGGTTGATTGTAGATCAGAGTCCGGGTTGGGGCTGGGGTCTAGCAGGCACCATTGGGACAAGGCCCTACGAGGAATTATCAAGTCCCTTTCATCAGGCTCAAGGTAGCTCTTCTCCGAAGACTAGTCTGTCCCCTCACCCTGACAATGTCCCCGGGCCTGCACGGTCATACTCCATTTCTTCCTTTGAGTCCTTTGTGCCTGTTGACCCCACACCCATATCCTGTCTGGGGCTACATGTAAGAGGGGAAAAATAAAAGAGAAAAGAATTTTATCAGCTATTTTCCAGAGGGTAGAGGACTCCACCCTTTGACTTTCTGCCACATGGCGACGTCGCCGAGGAGGAGTAGCCCTGGGGACCTCTGACTAATTCAGTGGTCACCAGGGCTCCCCTGGATAAGACCAACCCAGCAGGCACAACCTTTGCGAGCGCCCCAGTGTAGCAACATTTCTGTTTGGCTTTTCTTATCCCTTTGGCTCCACCTCCTGGGCCTCCTCATTCACTGGTCTTCATCTCCTTCCTTTCCAAGTCTTTGTCTCCAAAAGCTGGGGCAAGAAGTGCCAAACTGCTGCAGATAAACTCAGGAGCAGAGCCCCACAGGAACAAGTAACTGGGAGGAACAAATCCACTTCCAGGGTTCTGTCTGCCTGGTTTCCGTTCAGCTCTGAGCTGGAAGGCCTGGGCCCAGCTTGGGTCAGGGCTGGGTGTGCACCAGGACTCTCAGGGTACTCGGGCTTCCTCTCTCACTGACTTCAGTTACTCTGACTCTGACTAAATGTCCTGCAGTGTGGAGAACTACAGATGTGAAAGTAAGGCAAATAGAACCAAAAACCGCCCTCCAGGACAAATCCTCACAGTCTTCAGGGTGGAATGTCCATGTTTTCAAGGCTTTGACTTCTCCAATGAGAACATTTTCTTCCCTGCTTAGCTAAGAAATGGAAACACATTCGCTACGATACTCAGTCTCAAGGGCCCTGATTCTGTGCTTTAAGAACAAAGATGTGTCTTGGAAGGGTGGAGAGCCAAACAAATGGACCTGCAAGCCAGACCCCAGCAGGGAGTGAATCACTTCCCTTCAGAGGCAAAGGAAAAGACCTACTGGCTTAAGGGGGAAGTCTGCTCCTTCCTGATTTGGGAAGAAAATAAAGAAAAAAAGTGTACTTCTCAGGGGAGTGGCATCTTTTAAGTAGCTTGCTCCATTGTCTAAGAAAATGTGTTAGTAGGTCTGTGGGTGGGAATTGGACAAACCCTGATGTGCAAGGCTCACAGGAGGCCAGACTGCTGCAATGATAAAGTGGACCTTGTGTTTGGGTGGGTGACGGTGAAGGCTCTGCAGCCTGGGGGCAGAAGTGGAAGAGGGAGGAGGAGGTGCTTGTAGCAGTAAAGGAACAGAGATATGGGTAGGGAGGAAAAGAGCTGGCTAGGAAATTCCTGACAGCACAGCCTCCTTAGGGTGCCGCGTCTCATGTGTCAGGTTGTGCTGTCTCCTTGGTACTGCCCTGTAATCTTCCTCTGTGCTCTGGTAGCCACACACAACCGCCTGGTGTGGCACGGTGCTTGTGGAGCTCCTGTACTTCAGGACAGGGAGGCCTTAGACCTTGACCCAGGAGTCAGAGACACAAGGACGTTGAGGAGGAAGCGAGCGGGAGAAATGTAGGCAACCTGTGAGTCCCTGGCAAGTCAAGGGGACTCTTGGGACACTTGAGGCGTCCAGGCACAGACAACTGGTTTACCCTCATCTCGTCCTGGTTTAGCCTCTAAAACTGAAAGAGATATCCTAGTTCCAAAATGCCTCAGACTCATGGTAGACCAAGGCAGGGCCCCTAACAGAAATACTTCTCGAGTACTTCCAGGGATGCCCGCTTAATTCCCCAAAGCAGCTCATCCTTTTTAAAAACTAACAACATCTGGGTTTTTCCCCCTTGTATTAGTGGAATTAGCCTTCCTGTAATTTCTAACTGTCATTCTAATTCTATGATTTGGATTGTCACAGTTTTAATCAGGTCCTTCATGAAGATTCCTAAAGACCACTGGGGCCCCACTGGGTGGTAAAGTCCTGGAGGAATTTAGTCAAGTTACAGTGACACCAGTGCCCACGGCAGGGGAGGAATTGAGCTGGCTCTGATTCTGTGCTCTCTGCAGGACTGGGCAAGATCCCCGGCCCATCACTGGTGCCTACAAAGGAAAAATACACGTCCTTGTTATGTGAAATGAACTTCGAAGAAAGCAATTTATTTCCCCTCTTTAAATTCTTCTTTTTCAGATCCAGGGTCAGCACACTTTTCACGTAAAAGGCCAGACAGTAAACACTGTAGGACTTGGAGGCCATGTGTGGTCTCTGATGCTTACTTACTCTACTTTGTCTTATAACATTTCTCTCACTGGCCTGCGCTGGATTTGTTCCGTAAGCCACAGTTTGTCACTTTGTGGAACTCTTCTCCTCCTGGTCATCTTTCATGGACAGCCTCGTCTAATAAAAATCCCCTTAAACAGGGTCAGGAGGAGACTGTGTAACCGTGACCACACCCGGCACAGTGCTGCGCATCCTGCCGCACAGCCTGCCTAAGGCTGTGTGTGACACACGGGCTCCCTGAGAACCCAGCGCAGAGGAGCCTGTGCTTGCCACCTTACCGGGAGGAAACAGCATCTGTGCGTGTGTGCCAGATGGACGCGTGAGATAAGTCTTCAGCTCTCTGAGGGGCAAAGGAAGCGGCCGAGTGTGGTGGGGCCACAGGGTTCTGCTCAGTTCCCAGAGAGGCCCACTGCGTAGTCTCCTTGGTTCTTCAGAACAGCTAAGAGAGGCAGGCTCTGCTTAAAAGCCCCTCTTGGGACAGCTTTACAAAGATGAAATAAGACCACTTTCCAAGGTCGTGCAACTTGGGAGAGAAGCAATTGTTTGTTTTTATTTGAGTTTGGATTTGGGTTTTTGAGACAGGGTCTTGCTGTGAGGTCCAGGCTGGCCTTGAACTCACTGTGCATCTGGGGCTGGCCTCGAATTTGCAGTGATCCTCCTGCCTCACCCTCCAGAGTGCTGGGATTACGGGTGTGTGCCACCACACTGGCCTGAGAGAAGCACTTGAATGTAGTCAGTGTGCAGAGCTGAGCCCCTGTTTCTTAGGCCATTGTGCTTCCCGCCCTTCCCAAGGGCCTGGGCCCTGCCTGAGACATCCAGAGACTCCAGTCAATCGGCTCTCCTGATGCCAAGCATGGTGATGCTCACCAAAGTCCCAGCTTCTCAGGAGGCCAAGGCCAGAGGCTCATAAGGTCCAGAGCAGCCCAGCCAACTTAGCGACTTAGCAAGACCTCATCCCAAAAGAACAAAAGCATTGGGGATTTAGCTCAGTGCAAAGGCCTCACAGTTCAGTGGCATCATGAATGCTTCGGAAGGTGTGTGTGTCCATTCACTCCCCCAGTAAACGATTCCAGGCCAGTGTGGGTTTGGCACTTAGGTCTGTTTTTCATTTATGTTGGTTTCTTAGTTTCTAGCTGTTACTTATTGTTTCACATAGTCTTTTCCTAATTTTCATCTTTGGCAAGGATATCAGATGCCCACACTTACTGGCTTGTATATGCCTCTGAACAGTACCTATAATGACCAATGTGTGAATTTTACTACGTACATTCTGTTCGGCCTCTTAGAATCTCCATGTGCTGATGTCCTGACACCTCGGCCTCCTCTCTTGCTTCAAGTTTAAGCAATGAGATTGTGTAGGGATAACTAGGGTCACCATGAGTCTTTCGGTGTCACAGCTATGGAGGACAGTTGGAGGCATCCCTCGTTCAGCCGTTAGTTGTTCTAGTTGTTTGTGGAGCTGGGGTGAGTGGTGCCCTGTGGAGAGTGGGGTGGAGTGAAGGTTTCCTCCTTGGCTCTCAGTGTCTGATGGGCTCTCACCGTCCTAGACTGCTGTTACCCCTTCAGAGGTGGGGGTCAGAAGCTCAGATATAAAGGGAGGTTGGTGTTCAATGGTTTTGGGCCGTGCGTGTGTGTATGGGAAGAAGCAATCAGTCTTGCCTGGCAGGATGTCATTCCTTCCAGACCCACCAGTTCACCTCAGCCCTATACAATGGAGCCCACATCAGCCCTTGGTCCTGGTGTCCCTTGTCCTGTGCCATTTCACACTTGGCCTGTCCCTTAGCCTCACCTTTCTGCCCTTCCTCTTTGTCCCATTGCCCCAGGGTCTCAGAAGTCTCTCTTGTTCATCCTAGGCTCTGAGCAATGACTGTGGGGATGGAGTTCCTTCTTGCTTGCACACAGATCCTACTGCCCTTTCCTCTGGCCCTGGCCCTGGCCCTGGCCCTGGGAGGGAGGAGGTTGCTGCAGTAGGGAGCCCTTCCCCAGCAGGTCAGCAGCTGGTGGAGCCACAGTTGCTTTGTTCTTCTGCAATAGGCACCTCTGTCCTTAGAACTAGCAGCGGGGCTTTTGTTCACATCTGGAAGAGTTCAGAAGTGTTTGTCTGGGTGAATGAAGCCCCTTGGGGAAGGGGGTTCAAAGCATGACATCATCTCGGCCAGGCCCAGCTTCCTTTGGAGAAGAAAGAGGGCGGGGCCAGACAAAGCCAGATGGGATTCCCAAAAGTTGATGTATTTCAGGAGAGGAGGGAGGGTGCGGGCAGAAGAGGGGGGATTCCTGGGGTGTCTTGGAATGGTGCCTTGACAGCACGATCCTTCAGTCCAGTGTCCTCATGTTACCTCCACCTGCCCCTGTAATAAATTACTATCTTGGAGTCAATTGCAGAGGTAACTCTATCTAAAGAAAGAAGTAGCCTAGGTCAACTTCTCCAGCTATTTTATTTTGATCAACCCATCTCCCATCTAAGTCACATGGGAGCACACCCATCCTTTCCTCTCAGTGGTTGAGGACACACCCTGGTCCCTGGCAGTTCTGACCCAGCCTCACTCCCTTGCGCCATCTACTCAAGATCAAACTAAACCTCAGCGAGAGCTGCCCCTCGCCTGGTATGATTTATGCCCTTCCACCTCAGTGGCTTTGGTTCTGCATCTCTGAGACAGCAGTAGTAAATAGTCTTCCTCCTCCTCCGCCGGTTCATATCATGAGGTGATGATTGCACTCAGTGTTGATGTCAGTCTCCCTGCAGCTGGTCCGGGAGGAAGACAGGTGTGGGAGAGAGACCCTGTCATTACGTGTAGGGAAAGCACTCTTGGTCTCTGGTTAATTGATGCTGAGGAAAACAGGATTTCATTCTGTGCTGCTGTTTACCTGGAAAACCTGTGGGAAAAACACAGACCGGGATGTCAATGGACAGAATTTAGAGACAAGCTTTAGGGTGTCCTGGGGCCCTGGGGCATTTCCTTGCAGATGGTACTGCGGGATCAGCTCTGGATAACTTGTCTACTCATTGTTTCTTCAGGGCCTGAGGCCAGAGTGCAGCAGAGACCCTGCTCCTCTCTGTCTACGCAGTCACAGGTGCAGGTCAGGCCAGCTAACTGATAAATGAAATAATCTCCCACCTTCTTGCCACTTGGAAGGCCAGGTTTGCACTGGGGCCTCTCACACTCTTGGAATGCAGTGCACAACGTGGCTGAACTGGAAGAGACCAGCCCTAGCCCCAGCCTGCTGCCCTTCTGTCCGTCCAACCTCAGCTGTGGTCCAGGGAGGACCTTACACTCCAGCTACACACCTGAGTGTTAACCCTGCTCCCTGCAAGCAGTTGACTCCTGGCCACCACTGCACCCTGGGACATACCCTGAGCTGCAGTTCACTCCCTGTGGTTCGGTTGGGAGGGTAGGCTGGGAGAAAAGGTCCACACAGGTGCTGGTTGTGAGAGAAGTTCCAGGACTTGATGCTGGTGTGATCTAGAAGACAAGGTCATCCTCACAGGAGACAGAGTGGACCCCTCAGGGTCTGGGCCCTCTAAGATGCAGGGTCCAGGCAGAAGTCTTTTTCCTGACTCTAAAGATGTATATGCAAGGAAGTGGAAGGGAGTCAAGATCTTGAGACTGACTAGACTAGGAACTTGCTATCATAGGAATTTAGCATTTGTTGCCTTGTTGATCTTCCCAACAATCTGTGTAAGGTAGACAGAAAAGACTTTTACTTAAGGGGTAAGTAAACTGAGGCACACAGACATTAAATCACATAATTAGTTACTGGTAGAGCCAAGGCAGTGCCATCTTCCTTCCATGTTTGATGAGAAACCAGGCCTTCCATTCTCTAGTTCATCAGGGGATTCCCAGGTCAAAGCTTCCTAAAAGAAAGGAAGTTGGGCCAGGTGGTGCCCACCTGTAATCCCAGCACTCAGAAAGCTGAGGCAGGAGGATCACAAGTTTGAGGCCAGACTGGGCTACATAGTGAGTTCAAGGCCAGCCAGAACTGTATACCAAGACCCTGTCTAAAAACAAAACAACTGGGGTTGTTTGCTACGGTTGAGCATACCCAACAAAGGGAAGGTGCATGGGCTGGCAGTCATGAGGAAAAGGATGAGGAGCTCAGAAAAAAGATGGGGGAAGATCTGTGTTTTTAAGGAGATTAAAGATATTAAGCTATAGTGAGTGTAATTATTCCAAGAGTTAATATATTGGGCAGAAACTGACCAAAAGAGAGATACCAAAAGGAAAACATAAACATTTCCTTCTTCACATTTTCAATCTTTGCAAAATTTATGCAAATGTAATTTTATACTTTTAGTATTTCACTGAACACATTATGAACATTGCCTCACATTTGCATTTTGCCACAGCTTTCATAAATTTTTATTTGTGATGATTGTGTGTATGATTATAGTATTTTAAGTGTATATATCATTTATCCTGTTATATTTCATTTTGTTGCTTATAACTTTCTCTCCTGTTTTTTAAAAAAACTATACCAGACACTTGTGTGTCTATAAGTTTTTACTTTTCTATTTGCTCAGGACAAACCTAGCAGTAGGAAATTAGTCCACCATCCAGGAAGATGTTCTTCTGGCTGACCTGTTGCTCAGCTGCAGACTGATCAAGTGATGTCGTGGTCCTCCAGGAAGGTTTACACTCCAGCCTTCCTTCCTTGTTTTCCTACAGCCTCTGGCTTCACAAATGACAGCCCGACTATTGCAACCACAGAGAATTCCACCTTGAAAGTGTCTTCTCCATCTGTTCCCACCAGTGGATCCCCCCAGGAAACTACAACACCAGTGACCCCTGGAAGTACCACCCCCCACCATGGCTCGGTGGGCAGCACAGGGACCATAACTACCATCTCAGGTAAAGGAGTCATGCCTCCCATCGCAAAGCAGCAGTGTTAGAGCACTAGCAGGCTGCTGCCCTCCCGCAGACGGAACCATCATCTTATGCATTAGTGGTGTGAGCATCACGCTCAGGGGACCCTGAAGTAGGTTTGAGATGATTCTTCCTGTAGTGACAGCTTCCTCAGGCCAGTGCTTCGGCAGCTGACACTGAACAGTAATGCTCCCTGTACCTCTCCCCCATGCCAAGCTCAGCTGTATTACAATAAAGATCGAATGGGGGTCCATAGAGAGGTGTCTGGTCTTTTCTAAATGAAGGGAGGTGGGCCCATCCTTGGCATCTCTAGGGTAAAGCAACAGCTGGTTCTCTTCAGAGTCTGGAGACCTCTGGAGTAAATTCTAGATTATAGCTGTGGTTCCAAGAGCTGGCTTGAATGAGTTCTACCTGGAGTAAGACACAAAGTAACTGTTAGCGCTCCCACTTCCATGATCTGGGTAAGATATCCACAGCCCCACCATGAACTGAGATGGTCTTTTCATTTGTGTGTTCATGTGCTTGTGTGCATGTGTTTTGGTATCTTTCAGGAACTACAGTCAACTTCACGTCTACCTCTGAAACCACTCTGGTCCCTGAACCCACAAACTCTTCCATCCCATCACAGACCTCCCTAAACACCACGGTGCTTACCACCACGGTGTTCACTACCACAGGAAATGCTTCAGCTTCAAATGTGACCTTGAGGTCTAGCACGCCATCTGTCAATGTTTCCAATGAAACCACCACCACCAGCCCTGTGATGACATCACCCACCAAACTCTACACATCTTCTCCTGCCCCAAGTGCCATCAAGGTGGGTGAATTGGGCCCGAAATGCCCTTCATTTCATCTGTATGCAGCCAGGCTCTCTCCCCTCCTTCCTACCTGCCAGCGAGCTCTGTGTCTCGTGGGTTTCCCGTGGAAACATGCACTTCAGTGTTGTCGGGAAGCAGAGAAAGCCAGGAAAGGGGTGGAGTCCAGGGCCAGGCTGAGCTGTGCTTTGGACATTGCAGTTTTGGGAAATAGAAGTAAAAGAGAATCTCAGAGGTCACCCAGTCCTCTGTGGATTTTTCTAGGGCCCAAGGGTGTAGCTCCGACCATGCACCGGTTCACTTTGAGAATCTGGAATTGATCCATATTTAATGGAGCTGCCTCTCCCAAGGTGTTTATTACAGTGTTTCCTCCAAAGGGGAGAGTCTGGTGGTTGTGCCAGGTGTGGAGAGGCTGGGAGGACATCATTGGCAGAAGTAAGAACTGGGTACCAGAGACTGTGAGCTCAGCCTGCCCTCCTTTGCCTTGAGGTTGTGGCTGTCAGCAGCCTGAGGGTGTGGAGTTTAAGGACTTGCGCAGGGGCACAGGTTTCTGCTTTTAAAGAGCCAGCATACGACTCAAGAGTTGGCCACCTCATTATGGGTTTGCGTAGATGGCCTTCCTGGCGGCGTGTAGCAGAGCTGAGGGAAAACAGCTCAAATGGGAAATGACCCTCCCAGCCCACCTCTGCGTCATCCAAGCCAGTGTTTATACCAAGATTGTAAACAGTCACTTTCCTGCAAGCCCGGGCAGGTAACACAAGGCTTGATTATTGGTAGGAGCAGTGGAGGCAGAAGAAGGTGTAGACAAGCTGATACCCCTTGTCCAAAATGCTCAGAACCAGGAATGTTTTGGGCTGGGGGTTTCTAAAGATCAGAAATATTGAAGATACATAATGAAATGTCTTGGGGATGAGACTCAAGTCAAAACACAAAACTCATCTATGTCTTGTCAGGACACCTTCATGCACTCAGCCCGGAGGTGACTTTGTACAATATTTTTCAGTACTTTTGTGTAGAAGCAAGGTTTCACAGTGTGGAACTTCCCTGTTCATGGCATCGTGTTGACACTCAAAAAGTGTTGTAGATTAGAACACTGCAGATTTTGGATTTTTGTATTAGAGACACGCAGTGTGTATGGAAAAAAACCTCTAGTCAGCTAACACCTTTTAGAATTTCCCTTTCCTTAAAACTTCTAAAGAGAGCACCTCACAGAAACCAGACCGGAAAGGGCTTGGGGAAAAGTGAAGAGCAAAGAAAGTCATGTGATTGGATTTGTTTTTGTTTCAATGCAGGGAGAAATCAAATGTGCAGGAATTAAAGAAGTGAAACTGACTCATAGTATCTGCCTGGAGCTAAACAAGACCTCCAGCTGTGTAAGTCACCTGCCCCTTCTCCCCTCACCCCCAGACCTCCTCCCCTCATGCCGTCCCTGCTCCCCTCGCCCCATCCCTTCTCCCCTAGCCCCATCGCTTCTCCCTTCACCCCATCCCTTCTCCCCTGGCCCCATCCGACCTGCCCCGCCTTCTTGGATCAGGTGGTGCTTTGGTGGGGTCTGGGTCTTTACCAGGGTCTGGCTGCTTCTAATACTCAGTTTTGGAGTTTGAGGCTCCATCTGGTGGACAAAAAAGGCAAATGCAATGGCAATTGTTTTTTGAGGCTGTCACATCTACATTTGCTTGGATGTTGTGTCCTCACTGCATATAAGCTGGCTGGCTGCAGTGTCAGTTCTTGTGTGACAGAGAATTAACTTTCTTGTAATGCTATAGTGGTTTACAGTTTTGTAGTTTATGTTTTTATATGTTCTGATCATGTTCTTCAGATGCTTGGCCATAGTTTTGTCCCTTTAAAATTTTAAAAAAAAATTTGTACTTTTACATGACTGTGCTTTTTTACTATCCAGTGGAAAGGTCTTTCCTCATTATACTGTAAAAAGAGCAGTGTTTCTCGCTCTTCTCTTAGAAAATCTTGGAGACATCTGTCAAAATCACTGCCCTCCCCATGCACACTAACATGTGCGTACGCACACGGAGAAGGCCACTGAAGTTTTTAATTGGAGCTGCTTAAAAACCTTCAGTTTTTTTCCTAGAGTTATTCTGTAGCTCTCTTTTGTATTTTTTGGTTTTAAAATGTTTTCCTAAGCTAGGCGTGGTGGCACCCGTGTAATCCCAGCATCCTGGGAGGTTGAGGTGGGAAGATCGCTGTGAGTTTGAGGCCAGCTTGAGCTACATAGTGAGTTTGAGGTCAGCGTGGGCCACATGGGGAGACCTGGTCTCAAAAGAAAAAAAAAAAAAAAAAAAGAAAAGAAAACACTGCTCTCTGTTGGTTTGCTTTTTCTTTCAGGAGTATTGGGGATGGAACCCAGAGCCTGACACACGCAAGATGAGTGCTGTACCACTCGGCTGCATCCTCAGCCCCTTTTCCTGTATTTTTTTTTTGTACTGGGAGTTGAACCCAGGGTCTTTTCACTAAGTTATGTCTCTAGTTTTTTTTTTGTTGGTTTGTTTTTTTCCGAACAGGCTTCTGCTGAGTCACTAAAGTTTAAATTTTCAGTCTTCCTGTCTTGGCCTCCCAGTGTGGTGGCACTACGGGTGTGTGGCACATCTGGCTCAAATTTGAAGGATTTATTAAGGTTTTTTTATAGCACGGATACCCTATATACTCTAATTAATTGTTGCTGAGATGCTTGAAAGTTATGGAGCTTTGAATAATTACCTAGGATCTATCCATTTTCTTGAATTTGCTTATTAATTTCAGGAGCTTTTTAGCTGGTTCTTTTCACTGTTTAAGGCAAACTACCTTGTTTCCCACCATAGCCCGCTCTTCTTCATGGTGATTCCACCTCGCGTTTCAGCCTCCTGTCCTGCTGCACTGGTGAGGAAGTAGGGGGCGGATGTCAACCTTTAATGGAGATAGCAGGCCACCTTGCTGCTTCAGTAACTCCAGCATCCCGACACTAACACGGCTCTGGGGCAGGGAGTGCTACTTGCATACAGAAGAGAACCTTTTCGTACAAATTGGAAATCCACTTAGGAAAGCATGAGGACACACACGGATTGGAAAGACCGTGGTCCGTAGAGGGCTTTAGTTACTTATTTTGGCCATTCTGACTTCTGCTAACTCACCTGTGACTATTAATTGGGTCTCTCTGACTTATCAGTCTTTTAAAATTATACCAAAAGGAGTCACTTACTTAGAGACATTTAAAAACAACAAAAATTGTTCAACAAACAAAACTGTTCAACAACAAAAATTGTTCGGAAACAGGCAAAAAAAAGTTCACAGAACGGAATTACTCAGTGCAGTGTGCGGGACAGCTAAGTGTGAATATACAGTGTAGAAGCAACAGTCAGGGTGTTTCTGATGCTGATTTTCAATCCTACTCATTAGGAAAAAAATTGTCCAATCTGTACTATAATGAAGGAAAATAGCCATCTTCCCCTCTCGCCTTGAACATTTATTTTCCTGAGTGCCACACAGATGGCTCCTCCTTGGTGACCTGCCGAGTGTTCCAAGTGTCTGTTACTCTTTGGAGTTTGCCTTGAACCAGCGCCACCGTGCAAGACAAGTGCTGCACCAGAGCTGACTGCTCTTGCTCTGCTCCCGTCTCTTTCTCACTGTGGTTTTTGCTGTCCAGTTTCCTATGTGCCACAGCTAGGAAGGGCTCTGCAGGTTCCCCTGAGATTTAGGGAGTGGGATTTGGAAGGAGAGGGGCTCCCCATATCCAGTGCTGGGCAGCACATGTATGGTGCTGATGACCCCTGGTGTTGCTGCCCTTGTCCCTTCCCTTTCTTCCTGCGGGCACCTTCTCCCAGCTCCCAAACCCAAGTGCCTCCTGCTACTTCCCATGCTCAGATTTCCTCAACCAGAGAAGTTCTGGATCCAGAAGTTTTAGCCACAGCTCCCAGGTGTATCTCAGGTTCCCATCTGTGGGCCTTCGTATTCCCTGCTGGTCTGACAGTCCCTTTATTCATGATAGCATGTCTGTCCCTAAGGCTGTGACAAGTCCTGTGCCTCCTGATTTTCCATGGATGCATTTGTACTCCTGGTGTCAGAGGGTCTTAAGGTCCTGGTTCTACCCATGGGATACTTGGGTCCTACACCCAGCTTAATGAGGAGCATGAAAGATTACACAAATAATGTTGGTACCTACCTGCATCTGGTCCAACCTGGCACTCTGCACATCTGCTTCTCAGCTATCCAAACACTCATTCTGCATTAGTGCACTCTGACAACTACTATGTTTGCTCTTCCTGTGTGGGTTACTGTCTTAGTTACTTTTCTCATTGCCTAGACAGAATACCTGACACCCGAGGTTACAAGAGGAAAGGCTTATTTCAGCCAGTAGCTGACTGGCTCCAATGCAGGTGGCATGGCAGAGGGGCATCACAGAGAAGAAACAGTTCATAGTGGGCAGAAGGCAGGAAGCAGCAAAGCAGGGAAGTAGAGAGGAAGCAAGCAGCAAACCACAAGCAACAACAGCAGCAGCCCTCTTTCTGTCTCTTACATTTTATCCAGGCCACCAGTTGGGCAGGTAACACACCCAGGGAGGGGCAACCTTAATCCCAGCATTGCACTGTGAATCCATCCCAGCATCACATCCTTGATCCCAGCATCATACACTCTAGATCCAGCCACCTCTGAAAAGCCACACCTATGATCTCATGGGGCTTTGGGGTAATTTCTAGACACAAGCTGTAACAGTTACTGAGGCCTGTCTTCGGGAGACTCCAAAACCCCAGTGTCTCTCCCTTTGCTCCCCACCCTTCTCCTGTCGTCAGCCAAGGGGAGGGAGAGCCGGCTTCCCTCGTCTCAAGCACCTATTTCCCTTTCAGAACCCTCCTTAGCAGAGTCTCCCCGGGTTTGATTTTCATCCTCTCTGCTCTAGTGTCTGCTTAGTTTAGTGTTTGTGGTTGTGGTTCCCAAAACAGTTCCTGAACTGTGAGAAGATGTTGTTCTTAGTTACACCCATTTGTCTGGGGGATTCACCAAAATATTGTTTTAAATTTTAACACGTGCGGTGATAGTGTTAAGTACACTCATGTTGTGGCTCAGCCTACCTCCACAACTCCGCATCTTGTGTACCTGCAAGTCCGTTCCCACACAGACCCCCACTGCGCCAGGCCCTGACAGCCGCTGTTCTTCCTGTCTCTGAGCTCAGCTCCTCTGAGCACCTCATGTGAGGAGAATCGTATGATGTCTTTTTGCAGCTGGTGTATTCCACTTAGTATCATGTTCTCAAGACTCAGCCATGGGTAGCATACATCACCAATGCCTTCCTTTCTAAAGTGTTGTATATACGTCATTTATGATGTAGGCACACAATTTGTTGCATATATATTTATTGTATCTACATCTTGTTTATCCTTTCATGCACTGATAGACACTTTGCTTTTTTACCCCTTTTGGGTATTTTGCTTTGCACACGAGTGTGCACATATCTTTCCCACACCCTGATTTCGGCTCTTTTGGGTGTGATCCTGATGGAGCATCACTGGGTCACATGGTAACTCTGTATTTGAACTTTTGAGGAACCAGTGTGCTGTTTTTCTGAGTAGCTATATGTTTTTCATTTCCGCAACAGTAAACAAGGGCTCCGCTTTCTCTGTATCCTCCTCAACACTATCATATTCTGGATTTTTGTTCTTACTTTTGGAAGTAGCTGTTCTAATGGATGTGAAGTGACACCTGAGTGAGGTTTCCACCTGTGTTTCCCTGATGCGTAGTGACACTGAGCATCTTGTCATGGGCTTATTGGCCATTTGTAAACCTTCTTTAGAGAAATGTCAATTCAAATGCCTTGCCCACAAAATTTGTTATTTCTCTAAATTTGCTTTTTAAAACTTTATTGCCACATCTGTGTGCATGCAGTTTCCACCTACCCGCTTAGTTCTCAGTACTATTCTGTCTTCAGCGGTGACTTCATCGGAGGTAGGCTGCCTCCACCCCCGCCAGACACTAAAGGTCAGGAAGCATCAGTTACAGATGAGGGTTTATGAGGACAGCATGCCTGCTGGGGGAGCCAGAGAGCGGGGGACAGTGGGACCCCATACCCTTGGGCAACACACCTCTTGCAGTATGAGTGGTAGCCAGTCCCTTAATTATTCCTGTCCCAACATAAAGCAGTTGTAATGTGCATTGTTAAACTCACACAGCAAGGCAGACAGAACTTGGAAAGAGGTGGCTGGTAGGAGAGGCTCGGGCCCTGAAGCCCAGCATTAGGAAATATTTTAAAGGTCATTAAGAAAAATGCCAGCCCCACCCACTTCCAGCGCCTTGTGTACCTCTTCAGTGGGTCAGGAGACTGCAGAGGTGGAGGATGCTGTTCTAGAAAGCGGCTGGCTTCATTGTTTTTGCAAAGTTGCCTATGTGAATAGACGTAGTTAGGGGTTTGCAGACCTGATTCTCATGAAGAGTGTGAGGTGGCTGTGGCTTCCTCCTGCCCACTCTCCCATGATGTTTGCCCATAGCATCCCTCGAGGGAGGATGTTGATTTCCAGCATCCGGAGAAACACTGCTTTGCTCAGGTTCCACCTGCTCCTCCCAGCCCAAACACAATTCAGCCAGGCTGCTGGACTCCAGAGTGGGAGGCTGGCCGCTGTTACTGCCTTGAACTTAGTCCAAGGAACTAACCAAGGGGTGGAGGGGCCCGTGAGGAGGCCAGCCACTGGGGTGTTGAGTTGGACACCAGTTCCCTGAGTGCTTTTGTTTGTTTGGTGCTGTGATGGGTGCGGTTTGGATCCAGTTATACAATGAACGCCCTTCCTCCCTGAGGCCACACTTAGTCTAGTCACAGAGAAACAACAACAGCAGTACTGCAGCATGATCCAAATAGGAATTCTAGCTGGCATGGTGGCACACACCTGTAATTCCAGTACTCTGGGAGGCTAAGGCAAGAAGATCACAAGCTGGGGCCCACCCTGGGCAACTTAGCGACTTGATGAAACCCTTCTTAAAGAATAAAAAAGGGCTGAGAATGGAGCTCAGTACAAAGCCGTACAGCTCAATGCCCAGTACTAGGTGATGTAGATGATAGTCTGAACAGCCACTGGTATTGCTGTTATTAAGAATAGGAATAACTGTTGTTTACATAGCGCTCCTCCCCACCCCGGTTCCTAATACAATGGACATTTCTCGTAGTTGGTCTGTAGTCACCAGAACCCGGTGTGCGGGTGAGGGGCCAGATTCTCAGACCAGTTGCATGACTTTCGAAGATTCAGGTAAGAAGCAGAGCAAGGGTTTGTGCTCAGTTTCCCCAAAGACAGGCAGGAGAGAGTGCCACAGGGCATCAGCAGTGTGTGGGGTTACCAAGCAGGCCCCTGCTGTCCCGTCACCCCCTGGGCTGTGGTTCTCATGTCCTCCCTGCTCACTTCACCTGCACATGTCCCACCCACTCTTGCAGCCCCTCTTTGAGGTATTTCTGCAGACTCCAAGCCAGGCCTGTCCACAGCCTCCTGTGTGTCCAGAGCACTTTGGTGGTGTGCCTTTCTTATGATTTGGGCCCTGTGAGTCATCTCCTTATGCTTTAATTTCTTCATCTGCAAAATAAAGAGGAAAATAACATCCATCTTGGAGAGCGCTGGGAGGCCCAAAGGGGTTAGTGTCTGAAAAGCATTTTAGGGCATCACCTCATACATCATGAGGAGCAATTAATTTTAAAAGTGGTGGTGTTGTGGTTGAGGCAAGGGGTCTCTCTGTGGTTTAGGCTGGTCTTGAACTCACTGTGTAGCCAGACTGGCCTCAAACTCATGGCAGTCCTCCTGCCTCAGCCTCCTGAGTGCTGAATTACAGGTGTGAGCAATCACACCTGGCCACCGCACCTGGCTACAGCATTTATTTTTAACTGCTATGCATATGAAGTGAGGGTTCTGATCATGTGGAATCGCAGTAACTCTTGTCACTCCATCCCTACTGTCTCTGTATGTGCACATTCACACCCACATTCACACGCAGAGCTTTTCACATGGTGTCTTAAGAGTCAGGGCATGATAAATATTAGAACAGCTGAACAGCATGGAGCCGCAGCTTCTCCACGCTGAGCCCTCAGAAGGTGCCTTTCTGTTTGGCTGATTTAGAACTGTCCCTACTTAAGATGTGGACACATTTTACCCACACACTCGTGGAAGCCCAGAGCTCCTTGACCCCATCTAGGAGGCCTGGTGGGAAGAGAGTGTTTTGTTTCGGGCAGGTGACCTAGGATTCCTCTCAGGGAAGCATGTGCAGAGAGGACTCCCCTGCACTCTTAGGATAGGAGACTGCTGCTTGTGTCCAGTGTGGTGTCCACATTACCTACTGCAGAGGCTGTTAAGGAGCCGAATTTCCAGAAGCCGGGCCTCTATACCCAACTCCCTGGGGAGCCAGAACTGGTCCCTTTCTGAGATGGCGCTGCAGTGGCTGAGCCTTCATTTCTCCATAACCTGGTCTTTTTTGGGTGAAACCTCTCTTAGAGTCCCGCTCTGTGACCTGGCGTGGTTAGCTGTGCTCTTCCAGCCTCTTCCAAGCCCAGTTATTTTCCCTCAGATTTTTCTTCACATCCCAGCAGGGGCCTGAGGCCAATCTTGACCTTGCCTTGCCCAGGAACAAAGGAACCTGGGTTTTCCTCCTTTGCTCTCAGGAGTAGGAAAATACCCAGGCTCCTTTCCAACAGGGAGGATCTCTGGCCCTGCCAAGGCCTGCGAACGTGGAGCCCAGTTCCCCTGCCTGTCACACGCCCAGCAGTTTTCCCCTACAGGAAAGTTGTCAGAGCCTTCAGGCATTTCCTTCTCTACCACCTGCCCTCAAGACAGAGAAAGCCTGGGGGAGGCCACCTCAGATCACAGCCTGCTGGAAGAAGGCCTGGGGAGGGAGAACAGAGTTTTCAGGGGCATGACCAGTGCCCTGATGCATGCTTTCCTAAGAGTCACTTGTTGAAGAACAACCTAGTGGTCTTCAGTTCCCATGAAGCAGTCAGCAACTTGGAGAAAGATCTGTGGATTTCAGTAAACTGTGTTCCATATTTTGAGTAGAACAGGATAAGGGAGGAGCAGATGAGAACTCAGGCGTGGTTGGAGCTGCGCTCTTCATGGGCTCCCTTTGGAGATAAGAGAGCAGTCTCTGAAGACCCTGTTCGAGCGCATTCATGTAGATGCATTCTCCACACACTTCCTTTGCTCTTCTGCGAGCATTTGAGGCTATTTAACTGTGACCCAAAAGATTTCATTATTATTGCTTTATTGATATTTTCTGATGCTGGAGATTTCTTTTCAATTCAGTTTGCATGGCATACCTGTACATGGATGGTCCTTAAATAAGGTGAGGTAGCTGAGTATGGTTGCACACACCTGCGCAGTGGAGGCAGGAAGGATCACTAGCTCAAGTTCAGCCCGGGCAACTGAGCAACTGTCTCAGAATAAAAAATGGGCTGGAGATGGAGCTCAGTGGAAAAGCTCTGGGTTCAATTCCCATTACTGCAAAGGGAAGAAGAGGAAGGAAGGAAGGAAGGAAGGAAGGAAGGAAGGAAGGAAGGAAGGAAGGAAGGAAGAGAAAAGAAAGAAAAAGAAAGAAAGAAAGTGTTTCCTAAGTTCATTCTCTGATGTCTTCAATACTAATAGATACATGATTTGGCACTGGGAAATTTGTTCAGTTACTGCAGTTTTACACATATACAGCCAGCAGTACTTTCACCCCCTTGGGAAAGGCCCTTTCCTATGGAGGGGATAAAAATGAGATTTCAGTGAACATTTTTATCTGAGACTCTCTGGATACTAGTAATTATGTCTCCTGCCCTCCACTTTTCTCTCTCTTCCCAGGAGGACTTTAAGAAAGACAGAGGAGAGGACCTGATCCCAATACTGTGCGGGAAGGGGGAGGCTGACGCCACAGCTGTGAACGCCACATGCTCCTTGCTCCTTGCCCAGTCAGAGGTGAAGCCACAGTGTCTGCTGGTGGTCTTGGCCAACAGCACAGGTACGGGCACATGTGCATGGGGCCCTGAGGAATGAGTAAGGCCATGGGAGGACAGGACTGAGATGAGAAGGTCCCTGTTGGAGACTCCACACTGCAGTGCCAGATAGCACAGGTGGTAGGGAAAAGATCTGGGTGGGTGAGAAGGACCTCCCTCGCCACGAGAACATCTCTAGAATGGTGTGGGAGGATAGAGAAGGATGAGCTCATTTAGCTTTAGCAACCTGTGTTTCTAATTCCAGAACTTTCCAGAAAATTCGATCTTTTGAAAAAGCACCAGTCTGACCTGGAAAAGGTAAGTCCTCTAAAATCCTGGGTCTCTGAGGAAGCATTGGGCCAAGTGTGTTCACAGAGTAGGGGGAAGTGATGCTTTTCTCTAGTCCTTCACTTCCTGCCTCTCTATCTTTTTATGACAGTCTTCAACTTTCTGGGTTTGAGCCAGAACTTTTACAGTGCAGCTCAATTAAGAGATGTTCATCTCACTTCTGGTCCAGAAATAGTTGCAGTCTGTGTTCTCTGGTGTCTGTTCACTGCTGGGTTGCACACTCGGGTCTAGAGTGGGCTGGGGTATTCTTTGAGAACTCTTCCCCTGAGTGACTAGCCGCCTTCTCTTGTCTTCTCAAGCTGGGAATCCAAAGTTTCAGCAAACAAGATGTTGGGAGCCACCAGAGTTATTCCCGAAAGACCCTGATTGCATTGGTCACCTCAGGAATCCTGCTGGCGATCCTGGGCACCACTGGCTATTTCCTGATGAACCGCCGCAGCTGGAGCCCCACAGGAGAAAGGCTGGTCAGTTCTGAGGCCTGGGGCAAAGGGAATCAGAGGGAGGTTTGTGGATGTCATAGCGAGGGATGTCAGAAAAAGCCTTTACATGCCCTGATATAGAGAGATGGATACATGCAGACTCGTAATCATGGAAACACTACAAGGGGAGGGTAACTGAGGGCCACCTACCGTTCGCTGTCATATCAGATGATTCCTCTCATCTGCTCATTATGTTCCTCCTTGTGATAATTTAGCTGGATACAACCAGAACCAGCTGGTAGGTCAGCCATACTTATTTGCAAGCTTATTAAATGTCCAGTGTATGCCACTTTCTTGTGAGAAGAGGACATAGGGACAGGAAATCTATTCCTGTTCCATATGAGGGAGGGCAAGGCTGACGTTTGGCTCTTGGCCTCTGGGTGTTGACCTGCTCTGGGGAGGTCTCTGCACATGGGACGCAGTTTTCTCATGGGCACTGGCTGCTGAGACTTGCTGACCTGGTGTGGTGCCTCTCCCCTGTCCTTTCTCCCCTAGGAGCTGGAGCCCTGACTGCTGTCCAGGAAGAAAGGAGTCTGCACACACAGCTGCACCCCCTGCCCATCCCTTCCCCAACTTCCTTTGGTCCCTCCCCTCGCAGTGCCTCACACCCTTGCTTATCAGATAATGCTCCTTTATTTATACACTGTCTAGGGTGAAGACCCTTATTACACGGAGAACAGTGGAGGCCAGGGCTATAGCTCAGGCCCTGGGGCCTCCTCTGAGGCTCAGGGAAAGGCCAGTGTGAACCGAGGGGCTCAGGAGAACGGGACCGGCCAGGCCACCTCCAGAAACGGCCATTCAGCAAGACAACACGTGGCTGATACCGAATTGTGACTTGGCTGGGTGGGGTGAGACGGGCGGTGTCCGAGAAAGCAGCCCTCCCTACCTCTGACTGTGAGCTGCCTCCGTGATGGAGGTGATGTCCCTCGCGTCCTACCTTCTCCCATTGCACATGCCGCAGACGCCACCCCTGGGGCCTGCCACCTTGCAGGGAGGCAGGTATACCCCAGCCCTCTGTACCTTTATCTCTCCAAACCCAGACTCCAGGCTTCTTTAGATTCAGGTGCGGGGAAAAGCCAGGGTCCAGAGGAGCTGCCATGGAGGCTGTGGGCCCAGCAGCTGCCATGTTGGAATCGTGAGCTCCTGACCTCCTTCCCTCCTTACTACAAGAACCCAAGGGGGAGGGGTGGTCTTTCCTAAGCCCCAGCGTTCTCCCAAGAGGCTTTGCTTTTATTGTTTCTGCTTCCGTTTTCCTTCTGTACTTTAGGGAAACCAAAGTAATGCCTTGAGCTTGCTCCCTTTGAATAATGTAGCCAGAAAACATGTTTTATAAGCCATTTCCATTGTCCCTCCTCCAAGACACTGCAGATTTGGTCACCAGCTCCCCACATTCTGTCCGAATTCCACCGAGCGCCACAGGAGCCCCATCCCATACCGAAGAGTCCGGCACAGTGTTCTGGCTGGAGCCTGGCCTTGTGCTCGGCGTGTTAGAACAAACTGCACAGCCTGGTCTCTAGGCCACTCAAACTGAGCTTGGGTCACAGGACAGGGTCTTGAAGCAGAGCCTCCTGCCCAGTGCTCTTCTGAGGCACCCTCTCACACTACGGCAGGATCCTGGCCTGCTCCTCTGACCACCATGGCCTGCCCCTTCTTCCCCTGCTCCCAGTAGAGCTGAGGCCTCAGAGTCCCCAAGTAGACCCCATCTCTGCCTTCCCAACTATGAACCCCTTCCCTGCACTGCACCCCTTGTGGTCACAGCCCAAGGACATCTCCCCCAGGACCAGAAGCTTTCTCCTCTGGGGTAATGCTGGCCTTATCATTTCTTCTAGAGGGATGAGCAGGGGTCCTGATTTCAATGACGATTGGAAATAGAAATTTCCAGAGATGAGAAGATCGAGGTTTTTTTATGAATAAAAAAATGGGTGTGTGTAAATATTGTAATTAAAATGATACTGAAACATGTATGCTGTGGTTGGGCTAGGTGTATCGGACAGAGTGGCTTCCCCATCAGACATGGCTGGATAGTACAGGCATGTGCTGGGAAAGGGGACAGCCAGGGAAGCGGTTGGACCATCATGCACCAATAACATGCAGGATGCTGAGGACCTGTGGCTAAGTTGGCCAACTGTTCTCCAGGGGGCGAAGGCAGTGGTGACAGGGAAGCTGGGTGTTTCCAGTATTAGAGATGAAGGCTCAGATGCTGAAGGAGCGCTCAGGATGGGATGCTGAGGACTTAGGAACACCCTTCTGAGAAAAAGGGCAAGCTGAATGCTGAATGCAAAATAGCCAAGGCAAAGCTCTACTATCAGACTATACCCTGGCCCAGGACAGAACTGGGAGAGTGAAGGACTGTCCTAGAAATCTGGCTGCCAACTGAGGGAGGAGGTTGCCTTCCACCCACAGAATTCAGCAGGCATCTGTAAGCACTCACCTCCCCCAGCTTCCAGATGTTGCCCCTCTGCTAGCCACAGGAAGTGGGGGAAGGGGTGCTGATGGACACTGTGTAGCCTCAGGAAACACCCGCCTGTATGTCAACAGCCACTGAGGCAGTTGAGGCCAAACAAAGGTTGATTCTTCCATTCTTATCTCGACAAAGCCAGACCTTTCCCCCTAGTACCCTCCCCAGACACACTGCCCTCCTTCCTCTCTGGCTCCTCTCTAAATGTTATAAGCAGAGATTCCTCTCTAGGATTCAGCAGGGGTGAGGACTCAGGAGGGGCTTGAACCTTCTGAAGATGGTGTTTGATTTGGGCAACTGGGAAAAAGAATGTCTTTGGAAAAAAAAGTTCTGGTGGCCTCCATCTAGTGGCACATGTGGCCATAGTGTGGCCAGTTGAGGGTCTGGCCAGACAGGTAGTCCTGTCTAGGGGAAGGAGTGAGTAGTGGACCTGCGCTCCCAGGACACATGAGAGAAGAGGCTACTGGGTCTTAGAACCACCTGGCCCTGAGAGTCTGAGGGTGTTGGGAATGGGAGGGAAGGTTCTCTGTGATAGCTGCAGAGTTCACCCTGAGAGATGTAATTTGGTTTCTGGAAAATCCACTGCCCCCCTTTGACCTGAGCGTCTTAATGCAGCAATGCCGCCACCTTGTGGCCTTACTGAGCTCTTGGCCTCAGCTCAGCGGACTCCATGTTGGTTTTCCCTGAGCTCTGGCCCCACCCTTAGCTGGCTAGCCCAATTTATCTCATTCACAGAACTCACACAGTCAAAGAAAGGCACTGGTGGGGAAGATTGTAAAGATACATTCAGCCCAACTCCCTGTGGTGCAGCTGAACACAAACACAGGCTCAGGAAAAGCATGTGGCTCCCCTAGTCACCTGGAAGTCCTGTAAAACTTTCTGCTTCATCCTGTCACCTTGAGGCCTTTGGGGTCCTCTAGCTGGAGCTGTGAGCACGTGAAGGTCAGTGTCAGGTAGCTTAGGGCTTCCCCTTGAGCAGGTTCAGAGCTCAGCCACAAAGGTGCTAGGAGGCTGGGGGCTCAGCTCCCTCGGCTGTGTGCTAGCTCTGCTCAGAATGAACTGGGAGGCTGCACTGCTCGCTATGGAAACCATCCTTGAACTTATCTTCTATCACATTTTCATCTTAAATGGAAAACATCCTCCAAGTCTGGATGAATAGGTTCGCCCCATCCCAGCCTTTCTAGCTAGACCAGTCCCACATTTCCTCTTCACAGAAACTCAGAAGTAGGTGAGCCATTCTGTGCAACAAGGGCCACGCTACTGTCTCCCAGCCCCCCTCAGTCATTCGGCAAGCCGTGCTGAACACTTCCTGTGTGCCAGCCACTCTTCCCTGAGGATACAGAAATTACTCGTAGGGCTTACAGTTCTATACCAGGAGAAAGATGACAAGTTATTTTCATCTCAGTAAACATACGTTTTCAGGCCATGTTAAGAGATGCAAAAAACAAAACACAGAAGTCTCTTTTTACATAAGGGATATGTTCCAAGACCTTCAGTAGGTGTATGAACCCTACAGGCCAGCGCTGTGATACTGGAAGAGTTGAGCTGATAACTGAGGAACGAACAGGTGGTGCCTCCAGCATGGATAGGCTGGACAGAGGGAGCATCAGGTCTGGGATAAGGCAGGGCACAAGTGAGGGGTTTCATCACACCAGTAGGAGGGTATGCCGCTTCGGATGTGGGAACTGCTTTTCTCTGCAGTTTTCCATTTAATATTTTCAGACCATAATTAACCACAGGTAACTGAAGCAATGAAAACCCAAACTGCAGCTGAGGGCCGATGAGTGTGGTGTGACCATGGATAGGGCAGTTACTCTTAAGGAGGCACAGTGGAGAGCAGCGATTCACTTGACAGAAGTTATAGACCGAGGGGGAGACCTTCCCGCCTCAAGGAGACCATGAGTGTGAAAGCCTGGTTGCAACTGTGCTGAGCGCAGACACCTCTGTGGGAGGGGGACAGGGACACTGGGGCAGCGTTGGTGAGAGGACAGGAGAGGGACGGGAACAGGAGCAGAGTAGGCCTCTGCCTAGACAGCCCTGGAGCATTTTGAACAGAACAGTAATGTGATCTCATTTACATCTTAAAAGGATCCTGTTGGCAATGGAGAGGAGAACAGGAGTAGAAGGAAAGAGAGGGGAAGGAGACCTGGGAGATCCCAGTGACAGGGTTGAGGGAAACGGTCACAGCAGGAGCAAGTGGCAGTGCTGAAAGTGGTGAGGATTCCAAAGATGTTCTGAAGAGAGTGAATAGAGCTTTGTCGGTCTCCTTATTCCTTCAGATAATTCAGTAACAATGACCATAGCTAACATTTATTGAGTACTTATGAAAACTGAGAAACAGCCAATATTCAGTGTATTGTGATAGGCACAGGACTCCGATGAGGCAGGTAGTGTCCTTTCAGAGAAAGAATGGAAACAAGGCACCCTGGGAGATGCTGTGCAGCAGAGGCCAACATGAGCTAGGCACTAGTTTATTTGGATCTACGGATTTTACAGTCTTGCAGAGAATAGTACAAGCATACTCACACACACAAGCTCACAACCAAACAAATGCAAGAACAAAGTGAACATGCAAGAAAAAATGAATGAAGGGCTCTGTACCCAGAGGTGGGTAAGACTCCTTCCAACTGGAGATGTCAAAGACTAGGTCACAGACAGATGGTATCTGAGTGGGTCTCTGGCAATGGGTAGGATTTGGATGGCAATATGAGTAAGGACATTTGGAAGAGCACATACAAGACATGGAGTAAGGGAAATAAGGTACCTTCAAAGGACAGTCTGTTTCCATGAGTGGCTGAGAAACAGGATGTATTAAGGGAAGCTGAGTACCAGCATGATCAGCCGTCACTATTGTGTAGGGCATTTAAAGCTAGACCACAGAGTTTAATATATTCCAGAAAATGGGGAGCCACAGAAGAGTTTTCATTTATTCACCCATTTATATCTTCAACAGTCTTGAGCGATCACTATGGCAGGGGTTACTGTGTCAGGCATTCGGGATCAGTCACAGTTCCTTCTGCTGGGCAGATGATGACAGGATGGTTGGCAGTGAGCATCAGTGCTGTGGAGTGGAGCTTCCGAGGGGAGGGGTGGAGGCCGGAAGCTCCAGCAGAGGTGACAGGTGGGCTGACCTTGACAGACTCAAAGATGAGAAGAGAGCCGAGCCATGTTCCGGGAAGAGGAGGAAGCCTTGGGTGGCATGCCAGGAGGTGGACACTCCAGGGATGTGAGTAAGTCAAGACCCAAGAAAGAGCAGGATTCTTCTTTAGGTCTTCTGTCTTTCTTCTGTCTTCTGTCTTCAGAGCTTTGTATTTGTTCTTTTGTCTCATGCATGCTATCATTGGTCCTTGAGGTCTTTGTATGACAGTCGTTTATCATTGGTCCTTGAGGTCTTTGTATGACAGTTGTTTTAAAATCCTGGTCAGATGATTCCCACTAGCATCTTGAGGTTGGCAGCTATTAAGTGTCTCTCCAATTTCACCTGAGGCTTCTTTGGTTCCTGATGTAACAGTGGTCTTGAATTATATCCGGATATCTAGGGTATTATGTTATAAGACTCTGGATCTGCTGACAATCTTCTGTGTAGCAGGCTTCCTGTAACAATGCACTGGTGAACCTTGGACCCCTCAGTGTTGGCCTCTGCAGAGAATGGGGTGGGGGTGGGGTAGGAGTGGGTGCCTTCTTACTCCTGGGCCAGGGCAGAATTTCTGGCTCCCCCTTGTCTGGACAACAGCACCCCAGTGCCATGGCATGTCTTGAACCCAATCTCCCTAGCCCTCTCTATCTATCAGTCTTATGTTTTATGTAAGCATAATGTCCAAGGATTTAGATTCAGTGATAGGAATAGGGAGAAGTGTGTCTACTCCATCTTGTCTGGAACCGGAAGTTCAAGCTAAAAATACGAGGAAGGAGAGGAAATCTCAAGCCTTGAGATTAGAGAGTTAGGCAACTATTTCCAAAATCCTCTCTCACCATTAAAAATTATTGAGGACTTCAGAAAGCTTTTGATTTTTGAAGGGTGTATCTATCAATAATTACTGCATCAGACACTGAACCAGCTGAGAGCATAGCTCAGTGGTAGAGCATGTGCTTAATATCCACAAGCCTCCCTTCTTAATATCCCAGACCACCCAAAAAAGGAAAAAGAAAGTGAGAAATGAGAGAAAGAAATTAAAATCAAACATTTATAACTATCCCGTTGCATAATATATAACACATTTTTAATGAAAAATAATTATATTTTGCCAAAGAAAAACAACTAGAGAAAACAGTGACTTTGTTTTCTACTTCAGCCAGCCTGTCTGGGGTCTGGCTTTAAGACCACCATTCTCTCACTGGCTCCTATGTTCAGCGTGGTGTGATACTGCAAGTCTTGTGGCCTCTAGAACCCTTGATCGGGCACTTGTGAGGGAATGAAAGTGAAGAAGGTAAACAGCATCTTGGTATCGTATGAAAATACTTTTGACCTTGAAAACTATTCAGAAGTATTGTAAGCACCTCCAGG